ATAAGAATGTTGTTGGGGCTCGTCGCTCCTCATCGCGTGTTCTCTCATCTATTGAGCAAAAGGCCGAAGGGGAGAAGAAGACGAAGACTAAGGAATATCGTGAGAAGATCGAAAGCGAATTGCGTCACATTAGTAAAGGGGTTTTGGTAAGTTAAACTTTTTGTTGAGTTGATAGTTGGGAACTTCTAAACCAAAAAGCGCTTTTGAAATAGTTTGGATTTTCGGTAATCCTTAAGATGTTAGGAACGATTAAGCTTTTAACTCAAAAAGCACTTAGGAAGTAGTTCGGACTTTCGTTTTATTATGATGCTGGACAACTTCTTTCTGGTTCCACTTAATGTCCTGTTTTAGTAAAGTGATACCGTTGACTTTAGAATGCTTGAATAATTTCAATTCATTTTCAGAATCTTCTGGACAAATTTCTTATTCCGAAAGCTGGAACTCCTGATTCTAAAGTGTTCTACCTTAAGATGAAGGGCGACTACTATCGTTATTTGGCTGAGATTTCTTCTGGTGATGAGTTGACTGGTTTGTTGAAAATCAAATTATTGTTTAAAAATCATTTACTATTCAGATGTTGTCGACAAATCACAACAGAGTTACCAAGAGGCTTTCGGTTTGGTCATTTATTTTTGAAAAAATATTTTTTACTTAAAAAGATATTGTTAAGGACTAAATGCAGCCAACTCATCCGATTTGGCTTGGTCTTACACTTAAATTTTCGGCCTTCTGCTTTGAGATTCTCCACAATAATGTCAAGGCTTGTCAGTTGGCTAACAATAAGCAGGTTTTTCCTTATAACTAGTAATTTTGAATAATATTAATTTTTAGTCTTTTGACGAGGTTAATTCAACAACTACAGCAAATTTAACAAGAGGCTTCAACAACTCCACAGATGCTAAATCCAAAACAAACTCAGCTTTCAGAGTTGGGTGAATTGATTTTGGTATTAAACTAGATTTAGTTTCATTTAAAATCTTTTAAAATTTTAAGATTCGTTGCTTCCAATCTTTGCCAATAAATGAGCGGTTCAATATGGAACACGGTTCTCGCCTCTTTCAGTCGGCCTCTAAAAGGAGTTGGAACATCCAAAAATATTTAGTTGTTCCACTGGCCTTTCTGAAAAAAGGTTTTTATTTAATATGTAGATTTAAGGCAAGTCTTTAAACTTGAGAAAATTTATTCTTAATTTTCAAGATTCGTTATCTTTTCCGCCTTCTGATGAGGAGATGTGCTCGTTATTGCTTAACTCTACAAATAAACTCAATGCTAAAACAAGAACGCATTTTTCTCCTTCTCCATTTGGGCTATAAAGTTGAGTGTCTCCTAGTGATGCTCGGGAGAAGAAAAAACCCGGGAAACGGGAGTCGGGTCGGGAAATGACCTCGGGAGTCGGGAATTAGCAATAAAAAAATTTTCAAAAATTTCAATAATTTTTGGCGGTACTTGTGAGTTATCCCAAACCAGTTTTTGCGGACATATTTTACGGACTCTTTTGTATACACAGAATGGTCAGTCTTCCTCCTTTCCTCAATTTCACTCTATTTCACTATGGCATTATTTAATGAGAGGCAATAAAGAAAGGATTATTTTTAAAGATAAATGACCGAGTTTTAAATCATGTTTGCCTCTCATTGAATAATGCCATAATGAACTCTCCTTAATTTCACTCACTCTATTCACAAATTTTCCTCACTCAATTCACTGTGTTAATAGAGGCAATAAAGAGAGGCAACGAAAAAAGAATTATTTTTCTGCAATGCCATCAAATATGAAAATAACAGATCAATCTTTTCATTTTTATTTACATATTTCAGTCATTTGAAATATTTTTCTAGGACTCCGCATTTTTAACTAATGGTCCGTTACTTCGCGTACGTACCCTAACAGTCTTACCAAATTAACAAACACGGCCCAGAAACAGGTTCCTATTTTCGACAAATCTAACCAATTATGGTATCAATCCAGCTCAAAATGGTCAAGGATTCCGTAAAAAAGGGGTGGGAATAAACTACTATTGCCGAAAAGCTGCACTGAAAGCACAGATCGGTCCACATTTTGTTTATTCCGTATTTTGGTCGTTCCATGATTTGGTAAGACTGTGATTTGTCACGGTTTTTGTGGTCGTATTTTGCGGACTCTTTTGTATATACAGAATGGTCAGTCTTCCTCTTTCCTCAATTTCACTATATTTCACTATGGCATTATTCAATGAGAGGCAAACATGATTTAAAACTCGGTCATTTATCTTTAAAAATAATCCTTTCTTTATTGCCTCTCATTAAATAATGCCATAGTGAAATAGAGTGAAATTGAGGAAAGGAGGAAGACTGACCATTCTGTGTATACAAAAGAATCCGCAAAATATTTCCGCAAAAACTGGTTTGGGATAACTCACAAGTACCTTTTTGGCGCCTTCGGCGCCAAAAATTCCGATTTTTTGCACCATAGGCAAAAATATTGAAAATTTTGTAAGGTAAAGAAACCTTACTAGCGCCGCAGGCGAAAATTTTGAGAATTTTTAGGTCAAGAGGTCAGATTTCTTCCATTTTTTGCGCCGCAGCCGAAAATTTTGACTCTCATTGACCTTAAGTCCTTAGAATCTCTCCATTGGAGTGAAATAGAGGAAAAGTGAAACAGAGAAAAATATTTTTACGTTCAATTTTGGTGAAATTTTGGTGAACTAGCCACATATCTCTTTATATCCCCTCAATAGTATTAACACCCCCTATGCAACATTAATTATCCATTGATATCTCTCTATTACTGCAAATCCCTCGTTATCTCTTTAAATTCACCATAATCCTAGTAAATCACCGAAATCTTCTATACTACAACTCCACAGATTCTTCAATTTTCAGCGCCGCAGGCGAAAATTTTGGGAATTTTAGAAGACCAAGAGGCGAGATTTCTTCATTTTTTCTAAATGAAAATATAATTTTGTCAGAAAAATCTATCCTTAGGGGTGTAAAAATTTCCCGACTTAGTCGGGAATTGACACCGGGAGTCGGGATCGGGACCGTTTGGATTTTTTGTTCCCAATACAACAACGAATTTTCAAATTATGCGAGACGTAATTTAGACATTAAGTGATAAAACAATTATTTTTTAATTTGAAGAATGGACCAGAACATCAAGATCTGTTAGAAATAATTGTGGTTCAAGCTTTGGATAATGAGAACGATCCTGTGGCTTTGTTGCCTCCTGGAAATTATGGGCAGTTTGTGTTTCGTATTCAATTAGATGCGTCCAACAGTCTGAGAGAATAAATGGTTGCTAGCATGAGCCAGAATCAGAATAGAAAATCGAAATTTTTTAAAATAACTAAAAGAGTATTAAACAATCCGCAATATGGAGATATGGGTTAATCTTGAAATATAAGGGGACTAATTGTGTTAAGGGTAGTCTTAAGGGATATCAGTGATCGGAGGGAGATACAGGATTAGGGGTTGATTAGAGAACAATTAAATCCGCACCCTAGAGCTCTTTAAATCCCTTATTCCAATTTTCTACTTACCCCTTGATACCCGTGATATCCCGTCCACCTATATATATACTTTTGTAAATATTAATATTTAATGTATTTTCATTTTTAAAATAGTGAGATAATTTAAAAGATTTTTAATTATTAAAAATTAAATATTTATTTTGAAATATTTTGAATAATTTGTGTTAAGAAATGATTTTTTAACTGTTTAACTGATTTTTTAATTGTCAAAAACAATGCTGAGTTGGATTCGTCGGATCTCGCGGTTTTTTTACAATTCTGTTACTGCTGATTTATTGGTTACACCCTCAAACATTGTCCACTTAAATGCTGCTGGTGAAAATATTGTTATTAGTGTTCGGAATGTGGGAAATGTAATAAACAAATAGTTTAAAAAATCTTATTAATTATTTCAGAGGCGCTACGCATATAAACTACTCTGTACCAACAATACTGACTATAATGCTGCAAACCCGTTTGGATTTTTTGTTCCTAATACAACAACGAATTTGCAAATTATGCGAAACGTAATTTTAGACATTAAATGATAAAATAATTATTTTTTAATTTGAAGAATGGACCAGAGCATCAGGATCTGTTACAAATAATTGTGGTTCAAGCTTTGGACAATGAGAACGATCCGGTGGCATTGTTGCCTCCTGGAGATTATGGACAGTTTGTTTTTCGTATTCAGTTAGATGCGTCCAACAGTTTGAGAGAACAACTGGTTGCTAGCAGTGAGCCGGAATCTGAGTAGATAAAATTGAATTTTAAAAAATTGGATTTTAGTTAATTTATTTCGTTTTTGTGTGCACCTATTTTTGCCAATTCTTTCAATTAAAAATTTAAAAAATGCCAGTTTTTCTTCTTTTTTTAAGAAATAGTCAAAAATTTTCTATTCATATTTTTTTAATATTTTTTCAAATGGAACATTTTTTCCACACCGACTTATTTAACAAAATTAATTAAAAAATTATAATTTGGCTACAAAAATTTTAAACAACAAAAATTTGCTGGGGTGAATCATTGGAATGCTAGGTTAATTCCGTTAATTAATACAATTAAGGTTTTTTAAAATCATAATTTAATTTGAATAATAATTGAACTTCTTTCTTTTTTTGAAAAAAGATTCAAAATTTTTTATTTTAGAACTATTTTTGGACACCGACCCATAAAAATCATCAATTCGAATACCTGAACACAATGTTGGATTGCTCTGACAAGGTGACTGAGTCCAAGGTGGAACTTGTACAGCTTGCCAAACTCGCCGAACAGGCTGAGCGTTATGATGACATGGCAGAGGCAATGAAGAAGGTTACCGAATTTGGAGACGAACTGTCCAATGAGGAGCGCAATCTTCTCTCGGTTTTTATCTTTTTGATTCGTTAAATTTAAGTAATTTCAAAGGTTGCCTATAAGAATGTTGTTGGGGCTCGTCGCTCCTCATCGCGTGTTCTCTCATCTATTGAGCAAAATGCCGAAGGGGAGAAGAAGACGAAGACTAAGGAATATCGTGAGAAGATCGAAAGCGAATTGCGTCACATTAGTAAAGGGGTTTTGGTAAGTTAAACTTTTTGTTGAGTTGATAGTTGGGAACTTCTAAACCAAAAAGCGCTTTTGAAATAGTTTGGATTTTCGGTAATCCTTAAGATGTTAGGAACGATTAAGCTTTTAACTCAAAAAGCACTTAGGAAGTAGTTCGGACTTTCGTTTTATTATGATGCTGGACAACTTCTTTCTGGTTCCACTTAATGTCCTGTTTTAGTAAAGTGATACCGTTGACTTTAGAATGCTTGAATAATTTCAATTCATTTTCAGAATCTTCTGGACAAATTTCTTATTCCGAAAGCTGGAACTCCTGATTCTAAAGTGTTCTACCTTAAGATGAAGGGCGACTACTATCGTTATTTGGCTGAGATTTCTTCTGGTGATGAGTTGACTGGTTTGTTGAAAATCAAATTATTGTTTAAAAATCATTTACTATTCAGATGTTGTCGACAAATCACAACAGAGTTACCAAGAGGCTTTCGGTTTGGTCATTTATTTTTGAAAAAATATTTTTTACTTAAAAAGATATTGTTAAGGACTAAATGCAGCCAACTCATCCGATTTGGCTTGGTCTTACACTTAAATTTTCGGCCTTCTGCTTTGAGATTCTCCACAATAATGTCAAGGCTTGTCAGTTGGCTAACAATAAGCAGGTTTTTCCTTATAACTAGTAATTTTGAAT